CCGCCGCCTCGCCGCCCCCGTCGCACCCGCACCCCTCGCACCCGTCGCCCCCCTCGCACCCATCGCCGGCCCGCCCGCGAACAAGACGCGCGGATAGTGCACGCGACGAGTCCGAGGTACACTCCACCACCACGGAGCCGCCTCCGCCGTCGGCATGCGCTGGAGCACCCGCGCCAGCAGCTCCTGCCAGGCCACGAGCGCTACGTTCGCGTAACGATACTGCAGAGCCCGTACGCTCCGTGCGAGACCAAGGCGCATGCAAGCGCACGCGGTGCGGAGATGACGGTGGCGGTGGCGCAAGTAAGACTGCGCGGCTGGCGCCCGAGCGTTGCGCGCGGGCGCTGGGTAAGCGAGCGACGGGCCCGTGGGCGCCGGCACTAGCGCTACGTAACCGCTTGCGCCGACGGTTAGCCAAGTAGCGCGGCTGAGCATAGCATTTCCGCGCCCTTGGTCCGATGTCGGATCCAAAGATGACTGCGTCGTATACGGTTGATTTTCTGTTGTTGTTTTATTTTATTTTTATCGCCGCCTCGGGAGTAGGTAGGCAGTAGGTAGTTCGCTGAGGTGGGTGACTCTGTCCGTGGACCGCTCGGGGCGCCACAACCCCGGTGCTTGCCGGGGTCGCTGGTCGCCATCGACGTTAAACAATAGTACAAAGGTATATTCTATATTTAACGTGTAAGTATCCGTGTGGACCAGGAGGATTATATTAGCCCTAGTAGATATTTATTTTCTCTATATTTATAGCTTCTATCATGATGCATTTAACCGTAGGCGAAATGTGAATCTGATCTTCTTTGTTGAGACGTTGAGTCAGAGGCTACGTAGTAACTTTCAGATAGACAATCTGCCTTATAAAGCGAGAGTACAACATGTTAAAGTTTTTATAAATATTTTATAGGATCACATTTTTGAAACTCAAGTTTTAAGCAATAAAGCCTTCTCATCAGAGACTCAGTTGATGTAAAATTGAGAGTCACCATAGTATAATTGACTATAATGTAAGTATCACCCGAGCATGTGGCACTTTAGCTTTACACTGCAGTATTTAATGTAATAGAGTGATATCCGTTTCTACATACACTACATTTTAGACAAATACAAATTTGGACTACTTGTTAATATACTGATAGTATACATATTTATATAAATTCTTTATTATATTACCTAATCGGAACTATACCAAGAGTGCTTTCTCGAAATATAACGTTAATTAAGAGTGCTATAACTAATTATTATGGAATATGTACAGACAAATTTTTTGTACAGTTAACACCAAAATTATTTGTTTAGATTGTGCTAATATGTATTTTATATATGAGAATATTAGCTAGATATTGGTGAAGTTATTCTTTTCGGAAAAGAATTGTTTTATGTACTTCCTAATTAAGCTTTATTGATTTTGGGACGCCCTACTGATTGTTGTTACTTGTGCCCGGTATAGTTAACTGTGACAGAGCTCAAACGAGCGATAGTAACTTTGTTTACACTACGAACATATCTGTTAGCATAAAATAGTTGTACAAACACACAAACGTGAAACTCGATATTTCTGTTAATAATAAGTTGTTGGTGCATGAACGCATGATAGTTTATTCGTTCATCGATCTCTCCTCATAGTTATCCATTTGTTAAATAATCTTACACTATCCATCTCCACTTTAAATTTAATTATCGAAATAATGTGATTATGAGACCATTGATTTATTTAAAAACCAAAAAAGGTTTTGCGTGAATGCTACTTTGTTGACACTGTAAAATATTATGAAAAATATTTTTTTAACGGCGACATAGATGATTTGAATAGATGTACCTAAGAATGGACTGAAGATGTAATGTTAAGTTAAGAGTCCAAGTTATGTACATATTAATATAAATAAATAAAAAGTAATAGTGCCTCATTTGTTACCGATTTAACAAATACATAGGTAAAAGTGTTCTTTCATATATTGAGATATGTATTTTTATTGAAAATAAAATTTATGCATTGTAATTTAGCTGTAAAAGAGGATTTAATATAATTTGTTAAGCTAATTGTGTAAAGATTTTTAAGATTGGCAGTCTGTCGCTTATATTGGGAAATCAAGAAGTTTGGTTTAGTTGTGTTTGCGAGACCAGTTATAGTGTTGTAAGGGACAGAGTGTCAACAGATGAAAAATTGGTAACAATTTTGTAACTTGGAGGGTATCAATGCCTTGGTGATGTGGCCGTAATCAAACCACTGGGTTACGGCAAATAAATTGCTAACAATTTAGATTGAGATGCTAAAACAAATGTTATTACTATACATACTTGAAAGTAAAAGGATTATTGTAGATTTTATTTTTTGATTTAAATAAAGTTTGTATGAAATAGATTTTTGGATTTTTATTCTTATACTTACACATTTGTTACTAACAATTTAAAGATTTAAAGTTACTCGTCTGCGAGGGCTATTTAATTTTAGGATGATTTTTTTAAGGCGGGAAATTCATCGAATGACTGCTTCCGCCTAGGTGAGGCGGGAGGAAGTGTCACAAAGAACGGGGTGGTTTTTAGTCAGTTAAGAGTCTGACACTCCTCTCCACCTCACCCGGGAGAAGTCATTCGATGATTTTCCCGCGTTTAATAAAAAGGCCTCGACTCTTACTGACTAAAAACCACCCCGTTCCTTCTCCTGCGCTTCGAGCCGGAGCCCCGGTAACCCGTTAGGTTCTCCGCGACTCAATTTTAGTATGATGAAAAATGATCACTGATAATTACTTCCTACAAGTAGACGACTGAAAGTTCTGTGACAATAGTAAAAGTTCTGGAGTAGATGCTTCAGGAATAACAAGAATAAACGAGAATATTAATGGGAAATTTATTGCCTGCCGATGTACTACCTATCAGAATTCGATTGTTTCATTTTTGAAAAATTCATTCGAAACCAAAAGATACAGAGTCAAAACTATAAATTTAAAATTGAAGAAAATGCCCGTATTTTTTTTATTAAAAAAGGTTGCATTGGATCAGTTAGGTAGGTATGTAGGTATTAAAAAAATAATCAGTATCTTATGTGTAATTTTCGGAATAAATAGAGCGGACGAATTGTTGTGGTTCTGAAACAATATCGCGTGGTACGTAATAGATATCTATTGCTACACGGTAATAAAAGTACGACAAAGATTGAGTTCAAAACGCTATTTGTTTATAACTAGCAACCGGCCCCTGCTCGCAAGGGGTGCAATATGCATGTATTATACATATAAAACTTCATTAAGAATCACTCTATCTATTAAAAAAACCGCATCAAAGTCCGTTGCGTAGTTTTAAAGATACTTATGGACATACATAGGGACAGACAGATGTCGGATAGCGACATTGTTTTATATACTATTTAGTGATTTTTTATTGTCAGAACATATCTACTAATAGGTACTACCCAATAAAAGTTCCTTATTAGTTCAATGGCTTATACTTATTAACCTAAATAATAATAAATTAATAAGTAATGATGGCAAAATGGGTTTAAAATTGTAAACTTGCGAGCACAAATCATAATATTCTACACTAACGCAGTAACACGTTCAAAATAACTGTTTTGTACCCCAGGTAGTTTTTACGCAGCGGCCGACGAATGCGGAAGCTATCGGTCCAGATGCATCGTCCCCTAACATGAATGGCTACAAACCCGCCCTATTTTTATTCACACCACTGTCAAACGGTGCGCTCCCGCTCACCCTACTACTCCAACTCGGCTAGGTTATAGTTTGGGCGCGCGTTCTAGCGTCCTGCCGTGCTCCCTACTCGCCGGTAGTCGTCAGTTACGCGACGAACGTAATAAGTGTCGCATCTGTTTATTTACCGCAACTCTGTTAAAATGTGACTTTCGTTTTAAAAAGTGGAAATAAATAGTAGTAATGTTACTGTGAAGTGGCGTTAACATTTTTGAATTTTGTAAGTGCGTTTCCGGCGTATTTATCGTAATATTGACGTGAAAAAACGCGGGAATTCGGCCTATCAGCAGTGCAGTGCGTTTAGTTTATCGATCGTGTTTTGTTTGGTTCTATTCTTACTGCATTGGTGTATTTAAATAATGTAATCAAAATGCAGTTGTTTACCTCTTTATCTAAGCTTTCTCGTAATTTATCACTTTGTGTGTTCGTCGAATCGAAGCTATTATTAGCGCTAGGGTTAATAGTTATCGATCGGAGATGACATTATAAACAACTTGACGGAATCAGGGTCAGTCAAGGCTGAGAATACACATGTCGCCAGTTTTCAAAATTTTGATCACGTTCACAACCGGATCCGAATAAATAAACATTGTTAATAGTATTAAAAAATGGCAAACTCACATTCCTTATGTTACCTAACAGGCTTTACTAGTTTTTTCCCTACCGGAGATTTCGGCAATATGTTATTTGCTGTTTGCGGCAGTTATTGAATGGTTTTTGCCGCAGTGGTTAGAATAACGAGATTCGTTAGATAATGATCTCTTGAATAATATAAGTTAATAAGACGAAGTGCTCCATAAAATGAAACAGAAACCTATTTTGGAAACGAGCCAAGAAATTCATGGAGATATTGATTGTCGAAAAATGTATTAGGCACTATGTTGACTCGTCAAATTCGTCTATTGATGCCCCTGGTGGTGTCATTGCTTACATACTTTCTAGAGCCCGTCGTTCCAAAACAACAATATCTACTGTCTAATGCCCGGTGTTTACTGTTCTGTTTGTTTACAAAACATCGACTGAATTTTTTGTTATGGTATTGGTCTCCCATCCACAGAGCGGCCGTGGTAAGCACGATGTAAATTTAGCTTACAAAAGTATCATCTGTTAAGATCTGACGGACAATGCAGCCATGTTAGTTCACGGTCTACATACCTTGAATGACGCAAATGTAACCCAACACGTGGTTAGCATTGTCTACTAACTAACTACAAGCACCGGTTTACAAAATGCACCTACTTATATTTATTTAAATTAATAGTTACCACTACCAGTGTGAAAAATAAAAGTTTTAGGTAATCGGCGAGCTCCATTAATTAGATAAGCTTATTAAATGGGGAGATTATAGTAAACCTCTCTCATGCAGAGGAGGCCCATCGTCCTGCATTGTAGGTGAACTACCATGGGCTGGTGGCTGTTATTATGATAACTAGTACTAGGGTAGTCTACTTATGCTACACCTTAAAATTGTATGGAACTCGAAGTCTGTATGAACCTATTGTTTTCTTATGTAAGTCTTTTTTTATGTGACTGTTTGTTTCCCAAATAAAATATAATAAAATCAATACATAGTATAAAACAAAGTCGCTTTCGCTGTATGTCCGTATGTATGCTTAGATCTTTAAAACTACGAAACGGATTTTGATGTGGTTTTTTTTAATAGATAGAGTGATTCTTAAGGAAGGTTTGTATGTATAATACATGCATATTGCACCCGTGCG